GTTACACATTTTCTAAACTTGCACTTTTTAGCGAAAAAGCGCGTACATCTACTAGTAGAGTGACTGTGATGTAACGCATTTTCCTTGGACCCATGGAGTGAGCCGATTCAGTGCGGGACAACGCCCGATCCAATGTTTACATCAATACAAAAAAACGCATATTATGGATGGTTTTCAAACGGATCGCCACGTCTACGGATGTACACACCGTTCGGGTTATTAAAATCGCTATAAATATAAGGGTATATATATATATTTTTAAAAACGACAAGATAAACGCAAGAAATGCTTATTTTTCAATCTTCATGTCTTAATTTCTTTTGTGAATATCCCGGCGAACCAACCGGTAAATCTCCAAAGTAAATTTGTATTCCATCATGCATGACGTTTAGAATTCCGGAGATTCCAAATAGGGTTTGTTTTTGATGTTTTCGTAATTGGAATGGGTTATTTTTTTAATGCATTAAAGCCTTTTTTTAAAAGCCTTCTTTGAGCACCCATGTTGGGTGTTAGTCAACAGTCCACCGATGACATAGGAGAAGTAAGATAAAGTTAAAGCGTACATATGACGATTGTTGCGGAGAGTTTCGATTCCATGTATAACATTCACTGGCAATATCTTCCATCACGTAATAGTCATATGTACCGTACTTGTGGCAAATATTTCTGACGCCGTCTGTCTTCTTTACAAAGGTCACTCAATGATTGCAAGAAATTTGAAGCCGTTTTATCATCAAGAAAAACTGTGAAAATACAAATATAAATCACATCATCTAATATATGTTTAGTGATATCGGTTCTAGGTAATGTAAGACACTATTATGATTTCATCATAACAAAAATTATAAACATATGTACGCAGTATTTGTATATCAGTACAACACCATAGTCGCGGTATAATACATTTGCCATGTTTGTAAGTTGGTCAATAACCGATCAACACTTTTATGTACTTGCGTATCCTTTCGTAAAGTCGTGTCATATTTAGATATATAAATTTACAAACATGTGAGGGCGCTGTTTATAACTTCAGAATATGAATTTGTCCAGTCGGTTCGCATAAATTAAGTTAGATTTGTATTTGTAAATACTCTCCTAAATCTTTGAAGGTCAGTTACACTGTAGATATCGGTGTCTAAAAGATGAGTTAAAATAAGACCAATTCGGGTTTTTACTTGTTTTGGGGTTGATGTAAGTGGAAATTGCACCAATAATCTTGGTGGGTAAGCACCTAATCGAAACTAAATTATGATAAGTGTTATGAGGCACGACCTCCTTTTACGAACTTCTTGGCGACGAGTACCAACATTAAGGTGTTTGTCATTATAGTTCAAAAAACATGGCAAGAACTGACGTATGATATTACATGTATAAATTATAGTATTCCCATGAAGTACCCGGATGTGTGACCTTTATTATGCATATTCTAGTCATGTGTAATTGTTACTGTCGATTCTGAGACATACCTGATTTTCCTCTCCAATAGGAGAACAACTCATCCTCACTTAAACAAGGCGCAGGAAGAACGTCCTACAATAAGAGTGTACAGAGAAAGGTTCTTTCATGAATACTACGCTAGAAAAATTATATAAACATTTTTTGTTTACGGAGAAACACAAATATAACACATTATTGTTGATTTTTTTCTATAATAATATATCAATGATGTAGAAATCGTGTTTACAAATGATGCCAGTACGTGAGTGCACACCGTATATTAAGCAATTAAGATCAATCATACCCTTACATTAATGTGCCAACACATTCAATGTTCAATCTTAGGCATACAGTAGGGTAATCACATAAAACATACTCACGAACAAATCACATAAGTAATACAGTAATCACAAAATGTACCTCTTCGTGGAGCTGCGCACTCAACTTTAAAACCAAAAGTAATAGAAAAATGTTGGCGGGCGTCACGGTAATAGCCATGTTGCGTGTACTATGTATATCAAGCTCTCTGTCAGTTATGATTTTTGTACTCAAAGTTGCACATATGCTAAAATAACAAGTCGAATGCCATAAAAAAGTAATTTCCGGTCACTAAAATAAAGTAACTAAGCAAATTTAGATTGGAGACTGGTACAATTCAATTTGTTTTATCATTCGTTGGAGTTGTTGTCAGGGAAATCTCCTTGTAACCATGAAAGAATAAGTGTCCCATGAGTTGAAACATCTGTTGCTATACAGAAGAGACCTTAAACGGCGACTTAGATGTGGGCCCTATGTTGTTATGTTCGGAAATTTAGTCTATATTATTTAAAATTACACTAAGAGATCATCCATAATGTTGCACTGTGATCGCAGTAATTGGCAATCCCGGACAATCCTCAAAAATTTCCCACAATGCAATTCAGACCATCATTTCATATATTCCTCAATAAAGCTTTAGGTATGATCGCAGAGTGCAAATTTAAGAAAATGGGTTTCTCTCAACAATGTACCAAGTATGCTTCTACTCTAATTATGTTATTTTTTAGTTGTAGATTTGACATCTACATCCTTAAATGTACCGCATCACATAAATATGTATTCCTTTAAATTTGGTTTTAAAAACAAAGGTAAACGTAGATTTTTAAGTTGTGCGGATTGAAAGAAGAGTTGTATAATGAAAACGGGGTTTAGCTCGAAATAAATATGTGTTGTTTACCCGCAAACATACGAGGCACAACAAACGCTAATACGATAGAACATGCCTCGATCGATCACAGAGAAGATTCGTGTTACCGGCGTGATCTCACTGTCGTTTCAATTCAGTCGTAAACAATCATTAAATTGACTTAGTAATGATCCTACGGGTTCAAAGGGTCAAGCGTAAAGTGGATGATTTTCCATTACCCACACAGCTGCAAGACTCAGTGTTCTAAAGTATCTAAAGCGGTTTGGGAAATAAATATGCAAATTTCGTGAGACTCACTGCGTATTTTCAGAATGTCAAACGCGAAAAGGGAACCCATTTGTACAATAATATTTCGAAGGAAATATATACCTTTTCAGTGACTATACATATGGTTCTTTTTTTTGACAATTATAATGTATGATATAAATAAGCGATTGTTAAAATTTAATTTAACAATTATGTTTGGTGATTTTTCGATTAGTTTCATTAAAATTGAATGCTAAACAAGTTGACCGTTGAGACAGTTCGAAAAAAAGGAGTCAATTCCAGACCAGTGGCGGCGGCACATGGGGACAGAGCTGAAACCTCTTGTGTCAGCAAAATTTGCCACTCAGAATGCAGGAAATCGCGTTTCAGGGGGTCTATATTTAAAAAATTTGAGAGCCTCGGAACTGCCCGGACCCCCGGTAGTAAGGTCGCGATTCGGCGCAAGGATGGTGAGCAGATCTCTCCCCTCCTTCGTGCCGCTGCATCTGCAGACACTTTCTTTCAAAAATAAGTCCTAGTTGGCGGCACGTCTTAACACAAATTTCCACGTTCGAGAAAGAGGTTCTGTTACCGTACCGTTGTATATGAATCATTAAAAAGTACAGTCGTAATCATGCATTAATTTTGTATCATAACTTCTTCTTATAGTATAACAGCCTGAGGTATAAGGATTCGCAATATATTTGACACGCCGACAAATTATATTTATAATGGTTCATTTGTTAGAACAAGTTCCTCTCCAGCCAAGCCGTTTCTGCAGTGGAAACCTTCACAAATTCAGATGACATACTAGTAGTTGATTATGATAATAATCTATCCCCGACTTTAAAGTTCGATGTTAATGCAAGATCACGTAATTGATTCGTACCACGTGATCGCATAGCAGCACATAGTAATAATGAACAATTTACGTTTTCCTATTCAAATACATTCCCATTCTTTATTACATCTTTTTCTACGACCCGGTTACGAGATCTATGTTCTTTAGTACGCGTTTTACATAATGAACATCAAGTGAGACACTAGATGTGATGATCGTGACTTTGAAGATTCGGGGAGTATTTAAAAACAATTCTGGTGAGAATTGTTATAGTTAATTGATTATTTACTTGAGGTACACATCTGAGAAAGGAATAGATTAGAATAAAATTGTAGCCAAATACCGGTGTCTGACTTTGTGACCTGAAAATGTAAAATCTGCCAGAAACATCCAATGAAAACAACGGTTGAGTAAGTTGCATTAAAAGCTCACATAATTAAGTTGCTGCATAACTGTTTTCAATAATATAATTTTCAATAATTTTCTTAAAGGGCGGTTGTTGTCGCACAGCGCGTGTTAAAATTAAATGTTACCAAACCATGTATTTTACACGCGTTGTGTACGTCGCTTGAGGTGCAAGGGGGATAACTGGTACAGGTTACAAGAAATAAAAAAAGCATTTTACGTTTTTAGTACAGGAAATAAAATGAAAGTTCCATTAACAGTAACAAATAGTTTTTTTACACTTTACAGATAAAGCAAATTCCTAATTTACATTTTTATAATATATGTGATAATTTGTGTTTAAGAATCAAAATTGTAAAATGCGTACGAAATGTGACATTTAACGTGGAAAATGCTTTATACGTTTACAAAAAATATACTCTTTGTACAAATTACGGTCGAATAAAATAGCTGATTACATTTTAAACCTTGCCCATTTTTTCGAATTTAGATTTTTTATTTATTTAAATTACATCATTACGAAAATAAAAACAATTGATTACAGCTTCCGAAAATACCCCTTGCCGACCCTCTCGCTATGAGTCCCATATCGAACAAGACGCGGCGCCTCGACCGCCGCCCTTAAAACTCATATATATAGCATTCATTTTATTTCATTTCATTTTGGGAAAAATGTCTATGCGTTAAATACTACTGATACTGAGCAAATCAGGATAATTGTTCTTGGTAAAACAATCCTGTACAAGAAAATATTATTAATAAATAGTATTGCTTATTACCATACTTTACGAAAATAGCAACAACGTTATCGAGCGTGAAGAAAACGCACGAAATCCACGTGTAGGTGTTTACTTCCGGTTTTCCCATCATTCTTTCGTCGCGCGTGCGCACAACGTGCCAGTTGCGCAGCTGTTTGGTTGCAAAATCACCGGTAAGAAACGAACATGTGCGAAAGATACACAGTTATAAAATATACGTAATCGAGTTAAGTGCACCACAATATGGCCATGCAATGTCACTACGAGGTGCTTGGGGTGTCGTTGGACGCGGACGACGATCGACTGAAGAAGGCTTACCGAAAACTAGCTTTAAAATGGCATCCCGGTAAGTGTTGAGATTCTGTTTTGTCGTTGTTTCATATAACACAAATGAGGTCTGACGATGTATTCGTGTGGCTGAAGTCAATACATAGACGTATATGGGGCGGAACGACAAGGACTATGCGCTCTGAAACCCCCAAAATCACTTATACTTGTTTCTGGCCGATCAGCCCGCGCTTTGCTAATCAATAATCAATAATAATAATAATTATTATTATTATTATTATTATCATTATTATTGTTATTATTATTATTAATAGTTTATTACGCAACTGTAATCTGCTGTAAATACAGTAAGGTAAAAATAGTGTAAAATAAAATATAAGTAATAAAACTAAAAATAATACAAAAAAATCAGAAAGTAATTAAAATACAGTAAATAAATCAAAGTAAAGCAAAGTAAATAGTATTAGTTAGTTTGCGGGTTTTCGGAGCGCGGATGATTAAATTCCATAATAAATGCTTACATTACATTACCAACTGTTTCGATGCTATGATTCGTTTCGCCCCATGGTCGTCATTGTATTGATTTGAGTAACCAACCACATGAATATATCGTCAGCCTTTGTGTGCGTAACATTGTCAGTCCATGGCGGTAAACTAGATTACTATATGGTCAACCTGACTCAAAAATTAGAAATATAAACAGAAGCAGAAATGGTATCAGCACCAATATAATGCAACTATTATGTAATAGTTACTAATGTAGCAAATATGGCAGTACTGTGTATGGTTTTGTCATCTTCAATAGAATCACATGGCTAGTAACCTTTCCCTGCATGGATTGTGACAAATGCTCATAGCAGTTTGACACACAACTACTGTCTGTACTTGTTTGTGTTTGGTGTTTTTCGGCAATTGATGTTTTTCAAAAATAGTTTTAATCATAAACACTAGAGAGGGTTCATGGTTCAATCTGATTTTCAATGAAAGAGAATCTGAAAAGAAACAAATGATTATGTCAAGTTGGAATTTATAGTAAATACATATAAATACAAGTTCTAAGACACATTTTGTTTTACTCTGGACATGTCCGTCCCTCGTGATCTTTATATAAAGTGTCATGTACTGGTGTACCATTTTAACGGTTATAAGATGCATTACTGTAAAATAGTTTATTTTCATTTGGAAATAATTTTCGCTGAAGGAATGATTCAGTGAAAGTAAAATCCAGTGAATATACCTTTTTTTCCTATATTTTACATTCAACTTGTTAAAAATCAAAAAGTCTTTTCAGCAAAAATTAACTCCAGCGAAAATAAAGTATTTTACAGTATTTGGATTGGAATCTGCTCCAGCGATAAATGTTCACTAACTAGAAAATCATAATATTTTGTAACTTTTTCACTATGCACAGTTGTCACACCACTTACTGTAAAGGGGGTAATTATTCACTGGGTTTTAATTTAGCTTATTTCGCTGACTGGAAAAATGCGCTAAATTAAAACACAGTGAATATGTAAAATTTAGCATAGAACACATTATCTAAATGATAAAACCGTGAATTTAAAACCCACTGAATATGCCTGAAATGGTAAATCAGTGAAATTTAAACCCAGTGAAAATTAGTCATTTTACAGTATTCTATGATGCGGGTCCCATGAGATTTGCAATTGTTTGTTTACTCATAATTAGAATATAGGTAAACAGTCGGCAATGACAATGCTTTCATGGTGACTTTGCGAAACATTCAGAAATTTATCAAATCACAGACAGTTTTAGTTTTCTCTATTTTTGGCTGCAGATAAAAATCGTGAAAATGAAGATGAAGCCACTGAGAAGTTCCGTCTTATACAGAAAGCTTATGAAGTGTTGAATGATCCACAAGAAAGGGCATGGTATGACAAACATAGAGATGTTCTTCTCAAAGGAGGTCAGTATATCTGATATAGAGAGGAACAAATGTTAGCTTGACAGCTATATGTATTTAACATTGTGAAGCCAACTGAGAAAATGACTTGGTTTCTGAAGTGTCTGTCCTAAGTGTCTTAATGTATATAATTCTGTTGGCCATTGCACATTTGTGTTGATAATGAGTGAATCATTTTCTGTAGGTTGTGATTTGCCAGTGTGGGTTGTAGTCTGCTATTGTGGATGCTGTCTGCTGTTGTGGGTTGTAGTCTGCTAGTGTGAGTGTCGTCTGTTAGTATGGGTGTCGTCTGCCAGTGTGGGGTGTCGTCTGCCAGTGTGGATTGTCGTCTGCCAGTGTGGGTTGTAGCCTGCCAGTGTGGATTGTTGTCTGCCAGTGTGGGTTGCAGTCTGCTAGTGTGGGTGTCGTCTTCCAGTGTGGATTGTCGTCTGCCAGTGTGGGTTGTAGCCTGCCAGTGTGGATTGTTGTCTGCCAGTGTGGGTTGCAGTCTGCTAGTGTGAGTGTCGTCTTCCAGTGTAGTTTATAGTCTGCTAGTGTGGATTGTCGTCTGCCAGTGTGGGTTGCAGTCTGCTAGTGTGGGTGTCGTCTTCCAGTGTGGGTTGTAGTCTGTTAGTGTGGATTGTTGTCTGCCAGTGTGGGTTGCAGTCTGCTAGTGTGGGTGTCGTCTTCCAGTGTGGGTTGTAGTCTGCTAGTGTGGATTGTCGTCTGCCAGTGTGGGTTGTAGTCTGCTAGTGTGGGTGTCGTCTGCCAGTGTGGATTGTCGTCTGCCAGTGTGGATTGTCGTCTGCCAGTGTGGGTTGTAGCAGTGTTCTCCCCAGGCCTTTCAAGCACTGCGGGCCCGCGTCGCTTAGACAAACAGCCGCGTCGCTTTTGTTTCGCCCGCGATCCTTGAAATCCTGCCCGCGATGCTTATTCACGTTGTATTGTTTACAAGTGTCAGCCTCGTCTAGCACATCTTTAAAACAATAACATGTATTGATCGAAAGGTAATCCCGCCTTTGTACATAGTTAGCCTTACAAAAACAGTGATAAAAACGGAAGTCTACAAGACGTTACCAAGTCTATCAAGGGTGCGGAGCTGGCAAACCCAAAATACTAGGGTAGTAATAATTTGCCCATTGCGTCGGGATGGTCTATCCCGAGTTGCTGCACTGCGATTAATTGCATTTTTACTACTTCATCACCAGTGACACTAATTACCAAGAATTAAAAAAACAAGTGAAATTAAGTCGCATTGGAAAATAAAACTGTATTAAATCGAAGTAAAAA